GATGAACTAATACATAGAACAGTTGATAACCACAGGAGGTCAACGAAATTGATTGTAAGGAACGTAGATTTTGAGGCAAGAGGAAAAGATCATAGACAAATATTAGTCCATTTGGCCAGTTATGGTTTGATAAGGTGATTTTGTTTTCTTTATTTATTTGTTAATTATGATTTGTTTGCAATGATATATGATAACTTGGATAATTCCTATTGATTGAAGACTCCTATTTTGTATACTTCTCCTCTCCTTTCAATTGCGTTCAACTTGTACTGAAACTTTTGGCATGGATAGCCTCTCTCATGACTCGTGCCCTCAGTAGGACTTCCCTGCGTGGATCCTGTTTGAGCATTTCCACCGGTAGGCAGCTGAGTGTCAGTTTCCTTACTCTGCTCTTTTTGTCTCGTATTACCATTCATTTGAAGCATGGTTCAAATTCAAATCAATAAGGTCTAAAGATATTACACTCCCCCACCCCCTCTTTCTACCTTCTTCACTCGAGCTTGAGATTGCTGTACACGGAAGACATATCTCTCAATTTTGATTTCTCTTTATTTAGATCATGTTACTTTTCAGTCGATAAATGCCATGACACGCATTTAATCTGTACTCTGCAGTAAAGAGTTCTAAGGCTGCCAATGTGGTTTTGCTTTTGTGGGGGTACGATTCAAAGCAAGAAATTTAGAATTCGCCCGCCCATGAAGCTCCTTTCAAACACCCATCTGGTATGTTGACTTAGCTATGCTTTGATTGCTTCCGTTGTTCTGAAGAAAGCCTAAGAAGGTGAGAGCATATAGAGGAATTACGGCCACCAAAGAGCAGCCATTGTAGTTGATATATCCACTCTTCTAGGCAAGAAAGAGGCAAAAAGCAATATTTCTGTTTTTATTATGATTTTTGAAGTATGTTTCTTTATCTATTATTTCATTGTATAATAATTTAGTGAAGAATGGAAATAGAAAATAGTAAATTTAATGAAAAAACGAGTGTGATTAATTTAAGGGCTGAATATATGCCCATCACATTTTGTCACAAGTGCAGCATATTTTAATTGCATAAATGGTCAATTACCTTTATTCATTATCAAGCTTACGTGCTCAGCATTTTTCATTGCATTTTTATTTTTAGTCTTTCATTAGTCTGCATTTTGTGATGATGGTTTCTGTCCTAAAATTCTGTAAAGAGTGAATAAAAAGATTTATTTGCTCGTATTTTTAAATAAGCCAAAAAAAAAAACGAAATTGCTTCTCTTGTTTAATGCATTTTGAAAGTATTTTTTTGATGAAAATGGTGATTAAGGACAAGATTTTCGAATTAATAAAAGATAAAGGATAAGAATCTAATGAAAAAAAAGTTAGGGATGAGATTAAATAAAGATTATGGACGTTTATTGAAAATAAAAATAGGGTATTTTATTAGCGAATGTGGGGCGAATATAATTATCCGTAATTTAATCGTACTCCTTTTGAGAAATTATAATTGGTAACTTTGTCTGTGACATTGTTTAAAGGGTTAAAAATAAGAATAATGCTATGTAACGTCACTAGAATTGCAATCATTGTTTAGGTAGTAGCGCTAAATGAAATGTGAAACTAAATGAGTCATTTAATTTCATTTATTATTTAATGTGACATTAACACCACCTAAATTGGGATTACAATACAGTAAGGATAAATAACATTACTTTAAAGTAACTTTGAAAAAGAGAGGTCACTCAAGTAACCTGAAAAACGAAAAATAAATTATTTTCTCTCGTGTTGTTATACTGTTGTTTTTTCAATATTAAAAAAAATAAAATTTGGCACTACTATTTCACATTTTTTTTAACAGAACTTTTCACACTTGTGCGCGTACACATTGCGTTATGAGCATTCTACAGTTTGTTTTCACTATTGTCATTGCCAGAGTCAATGTCGAACATAGATGCGGAGCCAAGGGGTCTGGGACCCCAAGTTCTCCAATATTTATATAGGTTAAAGATGAAAATTTTTTTTTAGCTAATTACATTAGTAATTGCTGCGATCTATTCATTTTCTACTACATAATCATATTTTTTTCCTTTCGGAAAAGTTGTGCAAAATTAGTCCCTAACATTTAGTGCTTTTGCAAAATTCGTCCAAACCTAAAGTTCCATCTTGCATTTAATATTTTTACATAATTCTATTAAATTCAACATTAAATTTTCCTAATGTGAGATGCAAGATATAACTTTTCGACAGGTAAAGTTGGCAAAACAGTACATAACCCAACTTTATACAAAATGTCGTTGATTACCTTTTCATGTTCTCTTTGCTATTTTATTTGTGTTTTTATTTACAGCTCAATTTTTTACTTCTACATTTTTAACAAAATATTCAACTTTATTGTTTTATTTAAATGTTGCTCTCTTTGTCAATTATCGATATGTCGTAGATTGCTAGTGAACAGCCCCTTGAAGGTTGACATGCGGAATGACGTGAGAATAATTTGCACTCATGCCAGGATGTTGCGGGAAGATGTGTTGATGATGCACATTCGAATTTCGGAGCAAGGAAAATGTGGAAATGATGCTTCAGTTTGCCCGGTGTCAAAGTGTTGCAGATTGCCAAAGCATGGGCTGATCCAACTTGCTGATTAGTAGGTTGAAGTCCACAAATTCGGATGTTTAAATTGGGCACATGTTTAGCACATGTGATGGGCAGTATTCAGAGTCCATACTAGTGGAAAGTGTGGACAGTTGCTTGGAATAGTTGTGGGATGCGATTTCTGGCATGTGTAACCAATTGGGTTGGTTTATCCCTTTGGCAGTTAAGAGTGTTAACTGCACACGAGTTTTGGCCTAAAAATAGAGGAGGTCTGGTTGATGAGACACGAAAAACATGTTGTGTTCCTTCAGCATAAGCTTCGTGTCTTGTACTATTGTTGAGTAATAAAACAAGTTGGATCCTTTAGATTTCATGTGTGTGCATTGTGTAAATCGGTGGGCTGATTGGGTGGAACCTCAGTGTCATCATAGGCGAAAATTTGGCTAAGTATTTTACTTGGATTTCGTCCCTGTGATAATTGGTATCAGAGCCTCGTTGCAGTTGCTGGGTTTCGCTTATAGATATGGCTGTAAGTCAGAATCTTAAGGATCGAGTTTCTTCGTTGGAGGATTTTGTCGGTACTCCTATGACTGACAGTACAGTTAGTTTGACTGCACAAGTACATGACATGATGATGTACACATAGAATTGAGGCTCAGTTCGAAGAGTTTGCTAGCAGAGTTAACGAAAGGCAATCTTCATTCATGAAAGATCTGTTAGACCTTGCTGATAACTCAAAGGCTCGGTTTGATGCCCTTGAGGTGAAATTTCCTTGTTGAAATTAACCCTAAACAGTACTACTATGCAGGAGGCAGTAGGTGCTTCAAAATTCATGTCCTTAAACCAAATCAGTTCAATGGTGCTCGTAATGCCAAAGAGTTGGAGAATTTCCTATGGGATGTGAAGCAGTACTTGAAAGCTGCTCGTATTCAGAGGAGGAGCGGGTAAATATCACTTTTATGTATCTCTTAGGGGATGCAAAGTTGTGGTGGCGAACTGAGGTGAAGGATGATGAAGGTGCAGGTCAGTTACCTGTTGTTACGTGGAATTGAAGGACCAGTTCCTGCCTTGCAATACGCTTGGGTTGTAAAGGAGTCTCTCAAAAAGTTAAGGCAGTCTGGTAGTATGCAGGAATACGTGAAGGAATTCAGTAGTATCATGCTGGATATCCAAAATATGTCTGAGGAAGATAAGCTTTTCAACTTTATGTCGAGATTACAAAGTTGGGCACAGGTAGAATTGCGAAGGCAATGAGTGAAGGACCTTCCTTCAGTAATGGCTGCATCGGATTGCTTGTTAACTACAAGATGGGCAGTAATTCCTCTATTCAGAGGAAAAGCAATGAGAAGAAGGTTGGCACGTCTAAAGATTGGAAGAAAAAGGGATGAGAAGAAAAAGTTCGAGGGCCCTAAATCAAAAGATGGTGATCAGTCCCAACTCAAGTCAAAGAGCTTCAGTGGATGCTTCATTTACAACGATCCCCATCGTGCAAAAGACTGTCCAAAGAGGGAGAAATTGATTGCCTTAAAGTTGGAAGGCAGTGATGACAGCTCAGACAATGTCCTATTGAGAGTGAATCCGTTACAGCTTGTGAATGCCATCATTACACTCTAGCGTGGCTTGATGTATGTTCAATTTGCTATTGATGGGAATGAAGTTTTGGCAATAATAGACATGTGTGCTACTAATAACTTTGTAAGTTCCAGGATCATGGAAAATTTGGGTTTAAGCATGACTTAGGTGAACACGAAAGTTAAGGCTCTGAATTTTGTAGCACAACCTGTGAATGGATCTACTTAAGTCACCCGTCTTGTGGGCGAATGGAAGGGAAAGTGCAATTTGGTGACTGTTCCCTTGGATGATTTCGATTTGATCCTTGGTATTGAATTCTTTGTCAAGGCAAAGACATCCGTGGTACCGTAGTTGTATGGGTTATACACTACAGATGAAGGAAGTCCATGTTTTGTACCAGCGAGATACCTTGACAAGAACAAAGGGAAGAAAATTCAGGATGAGATGCAATCTGCAAAACAACTTAAGGCGGGTCTGAAGAAAGGGGAGGTGACTTAAGTTGTAGCTTTGATTGAGATCAAAGAAAATCAGGTTGTGGAGATACCTAATCAAGTGGCAAGTGTTTTGGAGGAGTTCGTTGATGTGATGTCCCTAGAACTTCTAAGAACTCTTACACCCCGTCGTATCGTTGATCACAAAATTGAACTCGAATCAGGTGCAAGGGCTCCAGTACAAGCCCCGTATCGAATGGCTCCGTTGGAATTGGTAAAGTTGAGGAGGCAGCTTGATGATTTACTTGATGCAAGATTCATTCGACCTTCGAAAGCTCCTAACGGTACCCATTGTATAGCGATTCCCTCGTCTCGTTTTCAATATAGTTGATTCTATTATTGTGAAAATGTATCTAAAAAATGGAAGAATGTTTGAATGGGTTATGGTTTCATGGAGTTTGATTCTGTCAATACAGCAATGAATGTTTTCAGGGATCTGCACAATGATGTGAGGGGTGGAATAGACCAAGAATAACTAATAAAGAGAAAAGTGAATTGGGTTTTTAATTTAATTTTATTTTTTTGAAAAATTAATCTAAATTCAAGCAAGTAAAAACTAAATAAATTAATTCAAATAATAAGTACAAATATAAAATGATAAGTAAAATGGAGAGATAATGCAAACGAGAAAATTGTGGAAGTTCAATCCAAAATAATGATTTATATCCTCTGTTACCAAACTCTCCGGCACAAGCAATGCATTTTTCACTATATTGATTGATTTATGGTGCAATACAACCCTATACAATGCTTCTGGTAACTTACATATAAGGAGCATCGATTCTTATACAATATTGAACTTTTCGGAACCTCAATATAACCTACATTATTGAACTTTCTTGGGAAATCAATATAACCAACACTATTGAGCTTTAAGAGATATCAATATGATCCATAATGTGACTTACAATAAAGAGCACCGATCCTTGTACAATGTTGATTTTGTGTGGGTACTTTTGTCAATTTTAATTTTCTATTACATATATATTATTATTACCTAATAATCCTAATTTATATCTAATAATCTCAAAACTAACCTAATATATCAAAAGCCATTTTTCTCTTCAGAATTCAGATGAACTTCAGCCAACATCAACATCGACACAGCCTTGAGCCATTGCACCACACCAAATCGGAGACAAAGAGATCTTGGGTCTTCGATGATAATATCTGCTACGAATAAAATCTCAAATCAATAATTTTTTTGAGGAAACTGAGGTAAGATATCTGAAATTATATGGGTTTCACATTTCTCTCAACTATTGGATGATTGTGAAATAAATTTATTTACTTTGATGGAAATTGTTTATCTACTATGTACATGATTATATTATATTTGTGTGGACATACTCTTGTTTTGTGACTGAATTAAGCATGTAAAATATGTCAATAGAAGCTATTATTCACTTTGATGGAAATAGTTTTTCTACTATGTACATGATTCTATTTTATTTGTGTGGACATACTCTTATTTTGTGACTGAATTAGGCATGATGAAATATGTCAATAGAAGCTAAAAACTGTTCATGTGCAATTTGATATGTGGATTAGCTGTTTAATAAGTTAAAAGAAACCAACAATGACTCTAGTGGCAACTGTACTTGCATCAATTCAATTGTTGTTTTTATTGTATTCTTCGATATTTTGTTAAACTGTTTCTTTAAGTTTTTTGAATTAATAAAGATGATATCTATTCAGTTAGCCTATTAAAGTTTTGAATTTTGATCCAGTAGGCATAAAGTTTATCATTTAAGGTATTATCTTATTGATGTCTCAGTAACTGTATTATAGAACTATATGCTTTCAAATAAATATTCAGTTTATAAGTGTTTTGTGCCTTATATTTAGTTTATTAGACTTGTATGGTAACGTTATCGTAACGTCTTAGCTAAAAATGGTGAACAAAAAGCTATTATTATGATTTCTTGGATTTAGTTGGTATTTAAATTTGGGTAATTAGCACAAATCATCCCTATCATTTATGGTCATTGTGCAAATCATCCCTATCGTTTGAATTTTGGCATTTACAACCCTATTTTTATCTTCTTTTGCAGAGTTAATCCTTTTTATCTACTCCGTTTGTCCAGCCGTTAAAATTGCTGAGGTGGCTTTTAATTGAAAAAAAATAAAATCAAAAACTAAAACCAAAAGAGGTGAGTCAATGCTCTCCTCATCTCCGTTCAGTTTCCCCCAATTTCACAGAAAACCCTTGACCACCAAATCCCACCCAAATCGAAACCGCCGTCGCACTACACTCCACCTCAGGTCGGTGGCCGAAAGAGAAGCCGACCGTCGCAATAACCTCCACCTCCGGTCGGTGGCAAAGCCGCGAAGAACACACAGATTCGGTGAACTTAGCATCTATCCATGGACACGAAAGAATTGCCTGTTATCTTGCGGAATTTGCCTTGAACTTTCACCTTTCTTCGCTTTAGTTGAAGGAAACCGAGGGCGATAGAGGAGAAAATGCTGTAGAAACAGTTTCTAAGTGGACTGCAACTCCAGTCGATTATGGTGACTTTCCGCATGGCCTGTCAATAAAAGACTCATTAGCTATTGTGCAAAATGCAACTCAAGCCGCAGCTCGCATTTATCAAGTCTTCAGAGTGCAATCTTTCCAGCAAAAGCAACTGAAAGAGTATGGGGATGGTGAATTAGGAATGTCAGATGAACGTGCACTTTCATTGGGATTTAGTTTGGGTTACCACTAGTTTGTTTTGCGGATTGATTCATTGCATAATTACGTTATTGAGATTGGGTGTAAATGTGTGATTTTATTTTTGGTGGCATAGCTTAATTTATGATCAATTCATTTCTTAGGTGATTTGTGGAAGTTTATACATCCAAGACTGTTAAGATTCACTTATGAAAATTCTGGTTTCATCTAATGTGTGCTAGTCTATTGCTTAGTATTACAATCAATATTTTTCAGCCATTTGTGTTTGTGGTTGTATCTTACATTTTCATGTTCTGTGTGGGAGCAAGCCATTATTCAATACAAACATGCCATTATCCTTGAAAAATTGGCTGCCAAAACACGAAGATGAAGCTATATTAAACTGCAGTGAATGAAACTCATGAAATAGTTATAAACTCCTTCAATTTGGCATGTTTATATAACATCAGAACCTCAATTGTTGGCATGCGGCATACAGTTTGGCATGCCTGGTAATTGAATTAAAATCTCATCCAAGGTTTAAAAAGGCGGAACTAAGTACTGAGGCGTTTTTTCTTTATGAGGCGAGGCGTAAGCCTCGAGGCGGTTTGAGGCGTAAGCCTCACAACAAACAAAAAATTAAAGTGAAAAATTATAAAATAATACAAAAAACCAAAGATGGAGCATATAGTAAATAGAATATATAGCCATTAGCATATAGAAATATAGTCCATCTAAATAAAGAAGATNAAAGGTAGAAATAGGGTTATAAATGCCAAAATTCAAACGATAGGGATGATTTGCACAATAACCCTAAACGATAGGGATGATTTGTGCTAATTACCCTTTAAATTTATAGTAGATATATTTAGTTGTTTTAGATTTATTGTTAGTAAGATATAAATATATATTGAATTCAATAAATTAATGACATAAAAGTAAACAAACAAATAAATATACGACGAAACCGATGATTTAAAATCGGACCAAACCGTTAGGTTTAGGTTTAAGTTTTTTCTAACCGTTCAAAATGGTCTGGTTTATGTTTGAGTTTTTCTCAAACCGGTTTAAAAGGTTTGGTTTGAAAATCTATCAAAAACTGGTAAAATCGGACTGCTAACTTCCCTAATTTCCGGTCCCAAAAGAAATTGTTGGCAAAACAGGCAAGATGATAGGAGTTTTTGGCTGAATTTGATTTTATGTGGGTTCACAAGCCAGCAAGCAGAATCAGGTTGCTGATGCACTCAGTTGGAAGTCCGTGGAAGCTTATGTGTCGGCTTTGATGACAATCGAGTCGGATTTTCTTGACAAAATCAAGCAGTGGGCTAAAAATGATGATGTCTGTACCAAGTTGTTGCAGGAAATCAAGGACGGCTTGGTGAGACAGTATTGGATTGAAGACGATTTGATCTACGCCAAAGGCAGCAGATTGTATTTGCCTTCAGGTGGGGGATTAAAGAATATTCTGTTGAAGGAAACTCATGATCCACTATGGGCAGGCCATCCGGACATCAAAAGGATGTGGGCTTTGCTCTCGAAATCTTATTACTGGCCGAAGATGAGTGACGAAGTAGAGGCGTATGTGAAGTCTTGCTTGGTGTGCCAGCAAGATAAAACAGAAATGAGGAAAGAGGTAGGTTTGCTCCAGCCTTTGTCGGTTCCAGAACGGCACTGGCAATCAATTTCTATGGATTTCAATTCTGGTTTCCCGAAGATTGATTAATGGTGGACAAGTTCTCGAAATATTCAATCTTCATTCCAGCTCCACATGAGTACACTATGGACGGTGCTGCTGGATTGTTTTTCAAAACTTTGGTAAAATACTTTGGAATACCTGAGGATATCGTGAGTGATCAGGATTCTCGATTTACACGCAAATTCTGGACCATGATGTTCAAGATGATGGGGTCTGAATTGAAGTTTTCCACAGCAAATCATCTGCAGATTGATGGTCAAACGGAAAGGATAAATGTATTGCTAGAGGAATATCTCTGACATTATGTTATAGCCAGGCAGAAGAACTGGGTTGCCTTACTTAATACAGCCCAATTTTGCTACAATCTACATCAATCATTTGTTACGGGGATGTTCCAACCGAGTTAACCATAAGACATATGCCCAAGACTCCTCTCGAGATTGTGAAAGAAGGGGAACGCAGTGTATGTCCAGATGCCTCTTGTTTTGCTCAAGACAAGCAGGAAATTATTGAGCAGGCAAATGACAGTCTTGCGAAGGCTACCCGATGGATGAAGAAGTATGCTGATAAAAACATGAGGGATGTGGAGTTTTAGGTTGGGAACAAAGTCTCGTTGAAATTAACTTCCCAGATTTGGAAGAAGATTAGTAGCAAGAACGTGCATCGTGGGCTGGTTCAAAAGTATGATGGTTCATTCGAAGTAATCGAGCGTGTTAGGAAGATAGCATATCTACTAAAGCTACCTAATCGTTTGAAGGTTCATCATACTTTCCATGTAAGTTATCTAAACCCCTTATTGAAATTTTAGTGGGAGAAGATCGTTTGTAGGCTAAGAGGGCTCTTCGTATGATTAGAAAACAATATGATAAGGAGGTGGCAAGATCATGGGTCATCGAACAATGGGGGCAAGTAAGAAGAACAGACGGACAGACTATCTTGTTCTGTGGAAATATGATACTGGAGTTGATGCAACCTATGAAAGGGACATTGATCTGTGGCAATTCGAGGACAAGGTGAATGAGTATCTTGATTCTCTTCTGACAAGGACGTTGGACTCTTCTGGTGGGGGAGGTTTGTCAGCCCCTTAAAGGTTGACATGCGCAATGGCGTGAGAATACTTTGCACTCATGCCAGGATGTTGCGGGAAGATGTGTTGATGATGTACATTTGGATTTCGGGGCAAGGAAAATGTGGTAATGATGCTTCAGTTTGGCCGGTGTCAAAGTGTTGCAGATTGGCAAGACATGGGCTGGTCCAGCTTGCTGATTAGTGGGCTGAAGTCCACAAATTTGGGTGTCCAAATTGGGCACATGTTTGGCACATGTGTTGGGCAGTTTTCGGAGTCCATGCTAGTGGAAAGTGTGGACAGTTGCTGGGAATAGTTGTGGGATGCGGTTTCTGGCATGTGCTAGCCAACTGGGTTGGTTTGGATCTTTGATAGTTAAGGGTGTTAACTGCACACGAGTTTTGGCTTATAAATAGAGGAAGGCCTGGTTGATGAGACATAGAAGACGTGTTGTGTTCCTTTGGCATAAGCTTCGTGTCTTGTATGATTGTTGAGTAATAAAACAAGTTGAGTTTAACCGTAACACTGTCTTCCTTTACATTTCCTGTGTGTGCATTGTGTAAATCGGTGGGTTGACTGCCTGACTAGGTGGAACCTCAATGCCATCATAGACAAAAATTTGGCTAAGTATTTTACTTGGATTTCATAGATTTCATCCCTGTGATACCAGCCATGATGGGCTCCCCCATTGGTCGAACCTAACCATCACCATTACCACACTTGTTTTCACCACCTATCATCGTGACCTGCGATCAGATTTGCACCACCATCAAGCTTGCGACTTCACCTCCATTTACTGATCACCAATCATCAACCATCTCACCACTATCTTTGTAAAACACGAAAGATCAAGAGCATTCCAAAGTGGCAACATTCAACAAGTAACAGCAAACTTTATAATTATTTGCAATTTTCAATGAGTTAATTAATGTAAGAATTGGGTGCCATGCCGGGACCCACTTATATATCCTTCATTCTTGGCATTTACATAGAATTCCATTTAAAGAAGAAAAAAAAAAGGATACAGCTAACATGAAGATGACCCTTACCTTACAAGTGATGCCAACTGTAGAATTGAGTAGTGCCAAACACAATCAAATAATTTCAATTATTATGTTTCTTGGACCTAACCTCACAAGTTGCATAAATAAATAATATTACAAGTTATTCACTAAATATAAATGAGACAAAATAAAAAAATGAAATGAATATTACAAGTATAATAGTTAGATATAGTTAAATCAAATTGAAGAATTTATTATAATGGTATAATATAATTAAAACATTACGAAGTTAATTAGAAAAACACAAGATTTTTGACTGAAATTGGATATTTTGTAGTAATTGGATAATGATATTGCTGATCTATAATTACTTTAAGGTGATTGGAAGGAAAGAAGATGCCAATGGTCAAGGAAAAGATTAAAAAAAATGAAAAGAAATATCTTTAGTGGTAAATGTTAACAACTTTCAGTAACTTCTACATGGTTTTTTCTTTAATAATTATAGTCAAGCATAAATCATTTGAAATCTTAATTTTCTTATAAAAAGAAAAAATTAATTTATATGATTTAATATTCAGGTAATACATTTTTAACTTAAAAATTAATTCTTTATTGTAGAATTGTATAGTTAGAATTCATCAGTACTAGCAGACGGCATGGAGCTCAGACATTAGTGGAATTGATTTCCTAATTTTCAGGAAATGGTATCAATATTGTTAGCCAGCAGTCCTTAGTTAGTTAGAGGTTGTTATTTGCTCAATTCTAGAATATTCTTAGGTATCAATTTCTTGTATATATGAACCGTGTACTGGCTATGATCATCAAGAAGAATTAAGCATCATTTCTCTCAATCTTTAAGTTGTATTCTCATATTTTGTTTTAAAAGTATCAGTGTTTGTAATTAATAATTTCCTGATTTCTTTTGAGAAGTGTAGCTTCACAGAAGTTCTACAGATTATACACAAGGGAGGGCGGGAAAATTTTTGAATCAATTTCTAATCAGGTGGATCCCACATCGGGACCCACCTCATGTGAGGGTCGGTAAGACCTCTGTGAAGTGGTTTTCTGTACAAATGACTTTCTTCTTCTTTTGAACCATTGACTTGATGTTTTGTCGGATGAACGACGTAATTAAATATTATAATAATTTAATTTTGTTCTCTCTTCAAAACTTGGTATCTCCAATTACTCAATCAATGATCAAATTGGTTGAGCAATTAACTTGACCAGTCAAGTTTATCATGTATAAGCTCGACCAACTCTACTAATGAAGTCCCTAACCTTTCTAAAATATGCATTTAAAACTCATCCATTGTTTCGTAAGTTGACCAAGCAAATGATTTTGATCAGATTAATAATTATTTCTATAAAGATAAAATGGTAACTTTATCTCTTTTCATAGAAAAATAATTAAATAAAAAATAATAATCATCATCATCTTCCACTCCCATCCTTACTCCTACACCATCCCCATCCAAATCCACATCTACCCCTACCCAAAACCAAACCCACCTGCTACACGCCGCCATCGATTGCCGCTCGCTGCCATCACAACCATCGTCTGATGCCACCACCATCACAGCCAACACAAAGCAAAATCCCTAGAATTACAACATCATCGTCCACAACCACTTGCAATCACCCTTGTCGCCACCATCTCCCACATCCACCACCAATACAAAGGAAAATCACAATCACAACACAAAGCAAAACTTTAAACCAAACCCTTGTTACCCATTGTCGTCCATAGCTACCCACCGTCGCCCCCATCTCCACTATCACCCACGGCCACTACTATTACCACCAACACAAAGGAAAATCCCCGAATCACAATCAATAGATCACAATCACAACACAAAGCAAAACCCCCAAATCAACCTCTATATTGACCCTTACCAATTTGACGAGTCTGGCTGGAGTCGACACACCCACCACCACATGCTATGCGAAGCTTAACATCAAGAAATCCCCTTCACAAAAAGCACTCCTCCCTTTTTGTACCTCCACCACAAATGACACATTGGATTCCACCACTTTCACCGCAAGCTTCCACATTGACCCCGAAAGCGTCCACTACCTTTCAAGCAAGCATATTACCATCAAAATATCAATCTTCGCCGCCTGCAGTGGTGACACGATTGGTTTTCCCCATTTTTGGGTAGGTGGGGAGGATTGGGGTGGGAAGAAATAGATACAAGAGGATATTTTATTTTTTTTATTTATTTTTTATATTAAAATTTTTATGTTACTATTTTGCCCTTTTACAATTTGGTCAAAATTAACTTTTCTGGTCAACTAACAGTCAAATGAATAAATTTCATCCATTTGGACTCCGACTTCATCACCTCTCACAACATCATCGATCCCGTCATGGTTCTTGAAAATAAATCTCGAACATTAGATAGTGTTCTTTATATCATTTAAAAGTAGTCACTGCATGATTCATATTGCACATCTCAATTTGATAAAATATTAAGCAATGAGTTCACAATAGCGAGTCAAAGTTGCATAATTAATTATAGGTTCGCTTCACTTGTCTAATTATATTTGAACTATGATTTTCGAACGTTGGGAAGAATTTTCAATACCACTTTGAAGTACTCGTACTGTACATCCAAATGCATATTTCAAATGGGAAATGCTAAGTGTACATCACCCTCTACATAAGGGTGTACATAATGGACACCCATTTCAAATTGAAGAACCAATAAACAATTTATTCGAACGATCAAGTCAAACATGGCTATACGAAATTGGATTTAAAAATCGTATTTCGTTTCTGTTAGTTCTAGCATCAAATTAAATAGAATTCTATTTGATGCCGAGTCCCTTACATGAACAATAATAAACAATAATAAGATAAATTGTTACGTCTCTGGGTTGAGCCGAGCTTTGTTTTGGTCAACGAGCAGAGCCCAGGTGAGCGGACTGTGAGCCAGCTCCACAAGGGCCATTGCATCGTTTCTAGTGAAAATAAAGTAGCTTGTAATTTATTAGATGATATTTTTTGCAATTTTTTGTCACGTTTATCATGCAATCTATTAGAGGCTCACATCACAATTCAACTAGGGGAATGAAATAATAATACAGACTAAAGTCAACAGATTTTATTGTCACTTTAACCTATCAAATCCATTTCTTCTTCAATTTTCACTACTCAAATCTCGACATTCAACACGTTAAATGTAGTGTTCATTCTTTTAATTTGTAACGCTCTTCGTTGTGAAGATGAATAAAAATAATGTCATGATTTGAAAAGGCCAAAGAACACAATAAAATTATTTCTTTAATATTGTTGAATCTTACCTAAACGTGTGGACCAGACTGAATTGAATAGAGATGTAGGAAGCTCACCTACTTGTTGAATACAAAAATCTCCTAATCTTATTCAATCTTAAATAATAACTGATTTTTAAATCGTTTTATATTGGAAGGTTAAATATCGTCTTTGTGATCCATGGTCAAAAACTCAGAAACCCATACATATTATTCATAAGACCAATGAAAGTGACCGTAAATCTCATCAAAAATGGACAATTAAGGTTAACACGACATTCCCCCTACGTGGGGGAATCCGTGGATTGGGGGAATGTCCCCCAATTTTAGATCAAACTGTGATGTCAAAATAGTGGTGGCAAACAGGTCGAGCGGCTCGTCGGCTCATGGAAAGTCGGCTCAGTTCATCAAATGACAAGCTTGAACCGAGCAAGCTGGCTCACCCACGGGCGAGTGGCTCATGGACGAGGTCGTGGGCTCGTCCAAGGCGATGGTTTATTTATCTTTAAAAAAGGAAAAAAAAATGACGAGCTCAGGAGCTCGCCCACGAATAACGAGCACGAGCCGAGCCGAGCCGAGCCCGTGCGCATACCCACCTCTATGTCAAGAAGAAAACAAAGTCGAGAAATTGAACAGACTAAAAAATAATGAAGCTCAACAAAAGTGAACTAAATACATGAAACTATTACAATTAACTACTAATTACGAGATCAAAAATATGTCCGTCCTTCAACCAAAATATATCTTGGCAAGTAATAAAAAGTAAAACCTAATTAATGGCGATCCAGCTCCATTTAGAAAGGAAATTGAGGAGACAATCCCAGCCAAGTCTCGCCTCTAACCTGCTTCGAAGCCGCCGTTTGGTTGCTTGCTTGGTATGGGGTTTTTGCTGCAATCCTGCGTTGAAATACAAGAAATTTGCCAAAATCAATCTTAGCCCACCTTAAATTAAACAAATTAATGTCAATTTTCTCTCCTGGAAAATTGATCTTTGCTTTTAATTTCATTAAACATAAATTCCTCTCAAAATTAGGTTGAAAAATGTATAATCTATGTTGAAGACTCAACTAGGCGAGACATCAAGTATGCTCATCTTTATGGATTAACCAATTCTTAAATGCTGGAGTTTTCTTGAATTCTTACCGGTTTTTCCTCTTCTCCAGGAATCGGGCTAGCGAATTTTTCCTTGCAATTGGTAAATCTGCAGGCCCAGAGAAATTAAATTTTAATAAAATTTCCAGAATTTTTACCTCACAAATTAGAAAATTATTAGTGAATATAGCTTACTTGAACCAAGGGGTGAACGAGTAGTGTAATGAAGGCGGTCAAAACCGGGGGCAGCAACTGAAATGTTGTTGGTGGTGGATTCAGCTGGACTTGGCACCATATAAGGTGGCGGAACAGCGGTGGTCGACTGGTTATGTCCAGTGGCTACCATCATAATTTCATTTGCCTTGTCCACTGGAAAGTCATTAAACACATGTACTCGACCCGCATAGAATATCACCATCTGTGCAGTTTCTGGCTCAGATCTGTTTCGTACATGTAAATCGAACTAAGACCCCCGAAAAAAAAGAAAGAAAGAAAAGAAATGAAACTTGAAGTGGTCATCTGAAAAAATGAACCTATTAAGAGTTCTATTCTGAGCTTCTGCTGTGCTAAAGGTAGAACCACAACCGCCGATATACTGAGGTAGAGCGGATAGAATTTGGGTCGGAGCACCCGATTTATCCATCGTCGACAATAAATTCATTGTCCCAGTCGGAGCCCCTGTTTCAACCAAAAAAACTCAGAATTCTTCTCTCTGTTGGTTCCAAAACCAGAAAATTTTACGAGAAAATGGAAATAATTTAAAATTAGATCCAAGCAACTCATACATCAAACTACTAAAAAAAGGGAAAGAAAACGAAAATACCATTGAATTCAAAATCCTGAGTCGTAAATCCAAGACTACCGCTACCAAATCCCTTCATCCCTCCCAAATGATGGCCGGAAAACATAACGGAAGCCACTAATTCTGATGAACCCATTTATTCTCCGAAAACCAAAAATAACATTCAAGATAAAAATCAGTTGCTCTACGATTTGATTGATAAATGAATGGTCCGAGAGATTTTTTACATATATAGGGTGACTTATAGAGGCGTATGGATTCTGGAGATAATAAAGCACGAGGAATATATGTTTTTATAATATTAGAGAGATTTTTTACATTTATAGGGTGACTTATAGAGGCGTATGGTTTCTGGTGATAATAAAGCACGAGGAATATATGTTTTTATAATATTATTATTTATTTTGAATTTTAAAATTCAAGCTTCCATTTAAATCACGTGTCCTTTTGGCTTTACCGCATAATCTGTAGAAGCGGCGTGTATTTTACGCGTTCTTTGGTATGTTGGACTCCGTCCTTATTTTATCCATTTACTTACGCCGTATGTCCCTTTTGACTCTCCCGTTAACGTCTTTTCTTCCTTTTACCTCGCATCAGAGTTCAAACGACAATTTTAACCTGTGAATTTCATCCTTAACTATTGAATTTTCAGTAAACGTTTTGATATTAGGGGCTTGTTTGGTAGAGATTAAAATTGAAAAATTAGCCATTATTGTTGACTTTTGTTAGACAAGTGGGACCCAATAACGATCATATTTTCAATTAAAATTGGATTTTAATCTTAGGCAAACATGCTCTAAATAGCATTAATAATTATCTATGACGGCTAACAAGGTGAAAACTACACGACAATTTTAACTTGTGAATTTCATCCTTAACGATTGAATTTTCAGTAAACGTTTTGATATTAGATAGCATTAATAATTATCTACGACGGCTAACAAGGTGAAAACTACTTAATAGGCACTCTACGTGGAGCATTACATATTAGACCATCTACCACTATGAGACCTTCTACATTCATACTAGGACGTCTACCATAATGAGATCGTCGACCACTATAAGGTCCTCTACATTCATACTAGGTCGTCTACTATTATGAGACTGTCGGCGGCCACCATGAAACCCTCTACGTTCTACTAAACCGTCTACGACTATGAAGTCATCTACATTCATATTAGGCCATCAACCATTATGAAGTCGTCTACCATTATGAGGTATCTACGTTCATACTAGGTCGTCTACTACTATGAGACTCTCTAGTTCACACTAGGTCGTCTATCATTATAAGGTCGTCGACCAATATGAGGTTCTTTACGTTCATACTAACTCGTCTACAACTATGAGACTTTCTACGTTCATTATGAAGTTCTCTACCACAACTAGCCAAACACAATACTTAACCATAAAAATAGTCATAACTTGGGTAAGAACCATTTAACGGTTATTATGAACACAACTAACCACTGGAAATGTGGATGTCCTCCACTCAGAACGTGGGAGTGGTGGGAGATGAAACGTGGGACATGTGACACAATAACTGCCCAATAGCTATATGGCTTCAGTCACCTATAAATGGTGATAAGGCGAGACAAGTACGTATCTGAAAAATTTCGGTTATCTGAATACACATTTTATCTTTCCTTCCTTAATTTACATTTACGAATCCTCTACTAATTCGCACATTGGATGTACAACAATGGAGAAAGCTCCTACCTCATTTTGCAGGTAATATTTGTTTATCCAAGTAGCAGAAACACATTAGGCCGCCATGAGGGCACAAAGGTTTGTTTCATAACCATTTCATTGGCGCCGTCTTTGGGAAGCACTGAACATAAAAGCAAAGTTATTCATCTAGCAGCAAGAGACTTGGGGACTACTAAAGTCGTGGTTCTGCAAGTTCTACATCCCATGGTAGAATTGGAACGAAAGATGGAGAAAATGATGGCCTAGAAGATAGACGATACATTATCTAAGAGGAAAGACGGACGCAGACAAATGGTTATGGAAGAAGACCCATTTGCATCCTAGATCATAGCAATTCCTCTACCGAAAGACTTCAAACAGCCTATGATATAGGCGTATGACGGAGTCACTGATCTGCTTGACCACTTGCGGACCTTCATTGATTTGATGAGACTCTATACAGCCTTAGACACGATAATGTGTAGGTCTTTTCCCCCCGATACTAAGGAGAAAGGCCATAGACTAGATAGCAACTTTGGTACCCTGGTCTATCAAAACATTTGATGAGCTCTCTAAAAGTTTTGTGGCACACTTATTAAGTAGCAAGAGGAAGAAGAAGATAGGCATTGGGTTGATGCATGTTGTATAAGAGAGAGATGAACCTTTATATGAATACTTGGTTAGGTTTAGCTGGGCAACACATGGTATGAAAGACCTTCAAATGTTTGTAATAGTAACCGCGTTGATGAATGGGACATCCCGATGCGCCTCGTGAGCCCCCAAATCCAGGAAATTTATATAATGTGCGGCTTCAAAATTTTCCCAACAGCTCAAGTTTGTTCTACGGTCTAGTGGAGAGCCTTCAAAGCTAAAAATTGATTAAAGCCCTAAACTAATAGACCACGCACTCTACAATTTGACATTGTCCAAGGGTCTAGACAGAGAGCAAGAAAACTAATAAATTGGTTATAAGCTCAACAACGCTCTACAGTCTAGTGGAGAGAGCTTTTAAAACCAAAATTGATTAAGACCCTAAACCAATAGACCAAGTTCTCTACAATTCGACATCGTCCAAGGGGTTAAGCGGAGAGCAACAAAATCAATAAATTGGTCAATCGATAGCGCTCTACAATTTAGTGGATAGCCTTGAAGACCAAAAATTGGTTAATGCCCTAAATCACTAAACCTTCCACTTTACAATTCAACATCGCCCAAGGGATTAGGCGGAGAGCAACAAAACCAATTGATTATAAGCTTGACGACACTCTACGATTTGAAGAGCCTTCAAAATAAAATAAAAAATTGGCTAATGCCCTAAACCGTTAGACTCTGCGCTCTACAATTCGACATAGCCAAGGGGGTTGGCGGAATATCAAAACCAATAAATTGGTTATAAGCTCGACGTGCTCTACGATCTAGTGGAAAGCCTTCAAAACCAAATTTTGGTTAAGGCATTAAACCACTAGACCATGTTCTCTACAATTCGACATCGCCCAAGGGGCTAAGCAAAGAGCAATAAAATCAATAAATTGGTTTAAGCTCGATAGCCCTCTATAGTCTAGTAGATAGCCTTCAAGGCCAAAAATTGGTTAAGACCCTAAATCACTAGACATTGCACTCTACGATTCGATATCACCTAAAGGGCTAGGCGAAGAGCAAACCAATAAATTGGTTATAAGTTCAATAGCGCTCTACATTCTAGTTGATACCCTTCAAGACCAAAAACTGGTTGAAGCCCTAAATCACTAGACCTTGAGCTCTACAATTCAACATCGCCTAAAGGGATAGGCGGAGAGCAACTAAACCAATAAATTGGTTATAAGTTCAACGGTGCTCTATGATTTAGTGGAGAGCCTTCAAAACCAAAAATTGGTTAAGGTCCTAAACTACTAGACTTAGCTCTCTACAATTTGGCATCGCCCAAGGGGCTTAGCAGATCAACAAAATCAATAAATTGGTTATAAGCGATAGCACTCTACGGTCATAATGGAGAGCCTTCAAAACCAAAAATTGGTTAAGGCCCCAAACCACTAGACCTCACATTATACTATTCAACATAGCTCAAGCAATTTTACAATTCAACGTAGTTCAGGGTGCTCTACAATTCGACATAGCCCAACGGGCATGGTGATCAGCAACAAAACCAAAAAACTGGTTAAGAATTGAAATATGAAAATCGAAATCGCTATCTGAGCCCGTGTTGACCGCATAGCAATCGATCCACACCTGTCAGTTATATAACGGCCGATGGCCGATAGTTGGCAATTATGTAGCCGACTGTCGACGCACCCCCCGCAAGTTGTCGCACCCGTTAACTATTACGCGATTGAGTAAGAAAACTACCATTTCACGTTTAATTGAGTTCCATTATTACACTTACTGTTATGTGACTTCTCACGTTTTAAATTGATGAAAATTGTTGATGAAAATTGATCAATTAATTTCACAATAAATTTATCACGATGATAAATACTCATTTACCGTTGTACTATATGTCATGAAGTGTCACAATTACAAAAAAGAAATGTCTTAATAATTTAGGCCAAGACATTGATATAATAATTCAATTTTTAGTACCATATGACAATTACGTAGAATTAGTTACGATAAAATTGCTAAGTTGAGTAATGTTATTAATCATTATGATGATGAAATATCGGTGATATGACATCACATTATCCCTCACATTTTTTTTTTCTCTCTCTCTCTCTCTCTCTCATCCTCATTTCTCTTATAAAAATTGAACTGTTCAATCACATTCATAGTTATAAAAATTGACTCGATCGGTTGAGCTGAAAAATCGGTGACCCGGGCCCTTATCCGGGACGAGTAGATTAATTTAATAAGAATGCACATGACTCCGAGTTAACCTGGTCGGTTTTGACCGAGTTAACCCGGTCAGTTTACTGGTTTTCAAAATTGTTTTTTAAAATTTTGAAGGTTCAAGAAATTGAACATTGGATATTTAAGTAAAACAATTAATTCCTCACCATTGGAGTTGTAGAACACTTTAGTGTTTTTTATATGCAATAAGTTATATGTATCCAATGAATCATATATATTAAAAATAATAATTTTTCTAAAAGTATTTTTATAAAAATTTTGGNTTTCTAAAAGTATTTTTATAAAAATTTTGGTTCAACATTTTACTTTATTTTATAGACCTAAATAATTTAAAAATAATAATTTTACCTAAAAAAAATTCATACTTTAATTTATTCTTTTTATAGATTTTTATGCAACGACCCACCAATTCGACCATTAACCCACCGGTTCAACTAGTAACCCGAAGACCCTGTACCTTGTCAGGGTCGATGTCCGGGTCAGATCTAATAACTATGATCACATTATTCACATAAACTGTCACATCATCGATATTCTATCATTATATATCATAATGATAAATAACATTATTCAACTAAGTAGTTGTTTGACGGAGATTAAAATTAA